AACAACAACAACAACAACAACAACAACAACAACAACAATCATTTAAGACTGGGGACACTCCGTTCTCACCAGTGCCAGGGTTTTCATAGGAGGCGGGCAATACCCCCACTTTGTGGGGGGGCCGGTTCAAGCTCTACCAAGTTTCCAAACGACTCTTCGCCACCACCCACACCCAGCTTCCCGCCCTATGACGTTCGGACACTTCACTTCGTGGCCTGCGGACGACCTTGGCTACTACACTGGCGCATGGTTACAATGACTTCTTGTGGTAACATCTTGTGGAAACTAGCTTAGTATACGACTTATACCCCTGTTCCAACAATGGGCACGTGTACCGTTTTCCGACGTTTTAACGTTTCTGTACCACACAAGCCAAGACCCTTATTTTGACTGGTATCACGTGCGTGGCGCCAGCATACCACAGGACTTGTTTCCGTTGTTGTGAGACGATATATGCTCATTCTTGTTCTGTGGTTCTCGTTCCGGCCTCAATGTGCAATACTGGCTCACTCGTCGACGAAATACACGTGACTACCTCTCTCTGGTTGGAGGTCCTGATGGTTGTGGTTGTCCTGATAAGTCGTGCAGGTGTTTTTCGAGGACCTACGGTGCGATTCGTGTGATTGTATGATGCGCGGTGCTAAAATTCTTAAGAACCCAATGGTTTTTGGAGATTTCGGCGTGCGCGCGCGAAGAAAAAACGAATGTGTCCCGCATGGTATTATTTGACAGGGATGATGGCCCTGGCAGGTGCGCAACCGTTGTCGCAGAAGTTCGAAAAAGTTGCTCGCAAAAGCCCGTTTGACAGAAATGTTTAAAAAGTGTTGGGTTTCCTACGAATCCGCAAGAGCGCGCGGGATGAGATTTTGACATTTTTTTGTTGAAAAACCATTGGTTTTTTGATGTTTTTATGTTAAAATCGCTCCGAACACTAAGCTTTTGGAAGGATTTCGTCTTGCGCGCGCGAATGTCCACTTTACCTTATTTTTTGCAAGGGATTCTTGAAATTTGATTATATTAGAACAAGAAATGTCATTTTATAGTGTTTTTTGCAAGGGAAAACGGATTACAACAAAACAACCGGATCTGGATCACATCGTTTTACCTGAGGCTTCCTCACGAAAATGATGAAAACGTGGCTGCGGCCTAGGCGCGGCGGGGGGGGCGTGCACCAGGGGGCCCAACAATAATTATTATTTAGAAGTAATAATATTCAACAACAACAACAACAACAACAACAACAACAACAACAACAACATGCTCGTGACGCAGGTGGCGGGGTCATGCAGCATTTGTTCGTGGAGCTCATCAGCCAATGATGCCTCATCGGGGGTCGGGGGACGTGTTGGAGGTAGGTAAGCTAGGGATCATCCACCGTCCCCTGCCCTTCTTGGGTCCCTCCCCTGGCCCCTCCCTCCCTTTCCGCTCCTTCCCCCTCGCCTCCCTCTCCTTGCCTCCCTCCTTCCTCCCCGTGGCTTCCCTCTCCACCCTCTCTCTTTGTTTTTGTTATTTCTCTCTCTCTCTCTCTTTCTCTTTCTCTTTCTCTCTCTTTCTCTCTCTCTCTCTCTCTCTCTCTCTCTCTCTCGGGTGGATCATTTCCTGTCTCTTTGTGTCGCTGTGTGTCTGTGTGTGTCTGTGTGTATGTGTGTCTGTGTGTGATTACGTGTGTGATTGTGTGTGACTGTGAATGCGAATGCGAATGTCTTTGTGAATTTTGATTGTGACTGCGATTGTGTATGTGATTATGATTATGATTGTGATTGTGACTGTGTATGTGTGATTCGTGATTATGTTTATGATTGCGAGTACGGTTGTTATTCTGATTGCGATTATGATTGTGATTATGATTGTGTGTGTGCGTGCGTGCGTGTGTGTGTGCGTGTGTGTGTGTGTGCGTGTGTGTGTGTGTGTGCGTGCGTGCGTGCGTGCGTGTGTGTGTGCACATGCACGAGGAGATGGACCAGCACCCCTCAAAGGTCAACCTCTTGGAGGAGAGCCTGGTGCTGGACTCGCTCGACCTGCCGTGGCTGGGAGGTCTCTTCGCGGGCTTCCGCAGGGGCCAGCCGGACAGGCTCTTCTTCGACTTCAAGTACCACCTCCTCGGCCCGACCATGTCGGCGGCCGCCAAGAGGGCAGGCCTCGACAAGCTCAAGATGTCACCGTACCACATGAGGCATTCTGGCCCCAGCCACGACATCCTGCACAAGAGGAGGTCGCTCGCAAGCGTCAGGGCAAGGGGCCGGTGGATGTCCGATCGCACTGTGAGAAGGTACGAGGCTCATGGGCGGCTGCTACAGCAGCAGTCGAAGGTCACAGACGACACAAGAAGGGCACCCTGGCTCTCGACAAGTTGCAGGACGCGTTCCACACCTCTTTGTTCCCACGGGCCGCCGTCTCGTCCAAGGGTGCAGGGCCGTCGGGGTCTTCTCCGGCTGCGGGCGCCTCTCGGAGGCTCTCGCCTGCGCCGGAGTCCCAGCAGAGGCCTGGGACATCGAGCAAGGCGAGGCGGCTGACTTTTTGAGGCACGACTCACTCAGTAAAATAGAGAAGGGCATGTTGGGTCGATCCATCTGTCTCGTCTGGTTTGGGTTGCCATGCCAGACGTGGTCCAGGGCCAGGCGCTGGGATGGCAGAGGGCCAGGCCCACTCAGAGATGATGCTGAGCATCTCTATGGTCTGCCCAATTGTTCGCCCAGCGACGGTAAGAAGGTACAACTACATAACATGCTTTTGCGACAGACTGCTAGAATCTTTCAATGGGCCGCATCCTGCGGATGCCCTTGTGCGCTGGCGAATCCAGCCACAAGACGAGTCTGGCTCACAGACGAGGTCAGGACACTCGCGCTGCTGCCTAATGCTAACACGTAGGTAACGGACTTCTGCCAATTCGGCACGCCTTGGAAGAAGGCCACTAAGATCCTTTTTGTAAACTGGCCACCGTTGGCTCTCCCACGGTGTCGCCCCTCCAGAGGCGCGCGCTCCAGGTCCTGTCGCACTCACACTATTCTGGAGGGCAAAGACGCCAAAGGTGTTGGCGCGCGGCCAGGGCGCAGCCATATCCTCTCGAGCTGCGTGCCCTGCTCGCCGACCTGGTGGCGCCTGCGCTTTGATGCCCTTCGCTGCAGGCTGTGCCGCTACACCCGTGCCCGTGTGCTCTATCGCTCGTCATCGGCTGGCGCTCTCATTCTGGATTTTGGAGTGTAATGTTCTACAGGCTCGAGCTCGCCTGACTGCCACTTCTTTCCCATGTGCATCGCCCAAGCCTGCAAAAGCACCTCGCAGTTAATGCGGCAACGGATGTAAAAAAGGCATCGGTCTCATCTCCAGAGCTTGCTCCCTGTTGAGTCCGCTTGCAAGTTGCTCTGTCGCTTAGCCCTTTTTGGCGCAGTCTCCCACCCTTCCCTCCTGAGTGTACTGTTCTACAGGCTTGAGCTCGCCTGACTAACACTTCTTTTCCACGCGCATCGCCCAAGCCTGCAAAAGCACCTCGCAGTTAATGCGGCAACGGATGGATATATAAATATTTTTTAAAACAAAAAATGTCTCAATGCCTGTCCGTAGCTGCTGCCCGCCGCCCCCCTTCAAGACGCATGCGTGCTTGGACATTGTCTTAATTAAGCTTGGAGGCATTGGTGGAGCCTGTCTGTCAGCGCGCGCGCCCTCGAGAGATCCCTGTTGCCCTATGTCCGGATACACATTGGCTCACCAAAAATTCCCCGAGTTTCTGGTGGCCTCATTGAGCACCCCTCGCGATGCCAAGCGACAGATCCCAGGTTATTCCTGCAAATACCTTTTTAGTGGATTTCTGATTCTCTTGGGAGGCAGTATCTAATTTGGTCTCGCACCTGCGCACTGGTCGACGATCAGATGTTCGAAGCTGGAAGAAGAGCCATGCTGAAGCCGAAGGACGTCTCTCCGATGACTCGGGGCGCACAGACGCAGAGTTTTCGGAATCCTGAACTGTCACGCTGGCCCCTCGTCTCCCGCAGGCTTTGCGGGTTGTGGAAGCTCACCCGCAAGTCGGCAGCACCGCCTTGCCCCTGCTGCTCTGGCCAACACCGCGTCTGCCCAAGCGGGGCCAGTCGAGAACCCCATGGAGGCGCAAACTGTTCAAACGCCCCTGACAATCCCCCGTCGGAACCCTGAAACGCCCCGAGAAGTGTCCGCGTGGAGTTCGCGGCGCGGCTTGGGCACGGGCGCGCCAAGACAAAGGGGTGCACGAGGACTTGGCCGCGGGCTCTTCTCCCGGAAGAGGCCAGCCCTGAAAGCCGAGGATACGACTTGGGCAGCGCATTTCCCAGTGGGGAGCGCCGTCGCGAGCACTTCCCTAGATGCGATGTTCGCCAACGAAAAGCAGGGGCGGGCGCGGCGGGCCCCGCGCCCCCGCAGAGCCGCGCCTCAACGCGGGCATGAACGAGTTGCGCTCGCAGGCTGGATGAGCGCTCGCCCCTGGAGGAGCGCTCACCCCTGGATGTTTAAGGTGTTGCTCGCGTCTGCTCTTGTTGCTCGGCCTCCATATCTGCGGGGGTGGACCGGTGGCCGCCGCGTTCTCTGCTTTCTGCGCCATCTGATGTTCAGTCCTTGCTGGGTGGTTCAGAATGACGCAGGATGCCCTGAGCTTCGCGCCAGGGCGTCACGCTTGCATCGCGGGCATGCTCCCCGAGCCGACTTCCGAGGAGAGGGCGTCGGTCGAGCGCCGCAGCCCCCGCCGCATGCGCAGCAAGGCGCAAGGGTTAAACGTTGACCGTGGGAACGGGGGGCGCGCCCATATTCGGGGCTCTGCAGCGAAAGCCCCCCCTTGCGCCGAAATCTGTTCTTCTTCGCGAATTGTCTCGCGAAGTTTTTCGTGCCTCTGATTTCTCGGCCGCGCCCTTGCGCTCGGGATTTCGAGGGCCCCGCTTCGGTCAGCCCTGGGAAGTTGGCCCACTCAGCCCCCCATCAACGTTCACTTGGGCAACTGCTGTATCTGTGGGCCCTCGCCCACGCCTCTCCGAGGCTCTGGGAGGCATCTGGACCCCCTTGTCTAAGGCGGCGAAGACGGGGGATTTCATCTTGGCGGGGCGCAGTCAAAGCATGCCTCGAGTGCAGTGTTATCTCTATATCGTCTTGGAGAAGACTCCCAATTCGATCTCCAGTGGCCCTGGACACGCACCAAGCAGGTCACGCGTCGACGACGTCACCCAGCTCCAGCACGGCACGCCTGCATTCATTAATCTCATTGGTCGATTCCGTCTTCTTGCCGCTCGCGCGTTTCGATTTGACGTGCCTGCGCTGGGTTTCGTGGTCATCCGCAAGTCTCACGCAGCTGCCCCTTTCCTGCAGTCGCAGGGACTCTTGCAGCCTTAGTTTCGCAGGCATGGCGCGCCCAGAAGCTTCGCGCGCGAAGGATCTCGGCACTGACACTACTGTGCATCAGAAGAGACCCACTTGGAAATTTCAGCAGCGCCGTGCCATTGCTCGTCGTCGCTTTCGCAGCTCTCTTACCTGACCAAGTTGCGCGGTGCTTCTCGCAAAGTATTCAAACCAGGCGTTTGGCGGCGTTCCTCCTGGGGGAATCAGGAAGTGCAGTGTTCCTCCTGGGGGAATCAAGATGTTTCGATCGTCTGCGGCGGCGCGTTCGGGATTCTGGCCCTCTGGAGCTTGTGCGACGTCGGTCCTCAGACTCGTGCGCGACGCGACAAATGAGCCCATCTTCAGGTTGAAAGTTGAGCACCTGGCTTATATTCCTGAAGTTCGGGCTGGCCTGTCTGAGGGCTTCGGGAAAGCGCGGGAAAGGTTTGGACCGGTTTGCAAGACCGTCTCCCCATTGTTCCCCCCCAGCACCGATGGAGGAAGATTCGGAGTCCAGTTGCCGCTCTTTTCACAGCGATCCTGGACTTAGGCTGGGACCTCGCAAGATCGATGAATGGCTTGTGCCTGGGCGCGATCATCTTCGCCTCTCCGGCATCGGTCGTCGGCGCCATCCCACCTTGCGCGCGCGCGTGCTGCCCTGCTGCCGTCGGGCCCCCCCCCCCCTTGCATCGGTGCTGAAATTGTCCGGCGAACTCTTTGTTGATTGACCCTTCCATTGCGAGCGATGGGCATTTGGCCGATGAGGCGCCTGTCGCCGACCCCGCGAGTGCTTCTGTCAGTCGCGGGCGCCCCTCTCTGGAGGCCAGCTGAAAGCGCCTCCCCCCTCCTAATGATCTCGCTACTCGCATGAGCTTTGGGGCATGTCCGCGCCCGCAAACTGACGGGGGGGGCGTCTGGTGACCGGGTGGCTCTGATGGCAGGCATGCAACCGACAAGACGCTACGTCGATGCGGGTGGTCTATGATTCGTCCAGGGGTGCCTAATGATTCGGGTGTTACGATGGATTGCGCGACGTGCGGAAGTGTTCCAACGGTTGAGCAGTCCATCTTTGGAGCCGAGTTGCATGCGTTCTTAATGGTGTTCCTTCATACAGTTGGTGCTATCGTTTGCATTTCGATTATCGATTGTGCTTCGCGCGTTGAGATAGCCACGCGCTCAGATAGTTGCCTCCGCTGCGATGCTTGATCTCTGGCCTCGGATCGGATCGGTCCTTGATCATTGCCTTGGTCGCGTTGAGGCCCCATGGGCCAAAAGCTATTCCACGGCCCATCGGCGTGCCCTATTCGCCGTCGGTGAGGAAGGATATGTTTTGAACTGGTGCGCCGATTAATTTGGCGGGCTCAGACAGCCGAGAAATCTTTTCTCGAGCAATGTGACTTGACGGTGCAGATTGATCGCCTTCCTTCTGCGACCCTGGATAGTCTGCACAAGGAAGTACCCCAGGCAACCCTTCGTCGTGTTTTTTGCACGCTCGGCCGCCCGCCTCCCCGACCCTTTCTTCATTCCTCCTTCTGCGCGAGGCGCGATCGATTACGGAGAGCTGGCCATGAGCTCGTCAGCGCTCTCCAACATCAACGTTGTGTGATCGTAAGTTCTCATTGCGAGGCCAGGTGCGTTCTTTCTGCCCTTGGCCTACATCAGTTCTGGGCCCTTGCTCTTGACCCCCATCGGGCACCCTCTATGTCCAACGTGTTCTGCCGCTCGCAGGCCCCAGATGCTTCGGGGGGCGACGCACTGCGACGGGCGTGGCGCCCACGCCAAAGTCAATGCACAGAACCTTTTTTCTCGTCCTGGTCAGGTCACTGATCGGCCCCCCACCAAAGCTGGCAAGAAATTGTTTCCCCCGCCCCCCACCGCGGGTCGGGCGCCCCCCGCTCTCGGCCACAGGGGCCACCGACGTTCCGTCGGCTGGTGTTGGTGGCGCCCCCCCTCCCAAGGCCGCCCTCGCCCATCGCTGTTTGGGGCTGGTTCCCCCCCCCTGCGGCGGGCTGGCGCGGCCCTGGAGGGCCACGCGGCGTTCGTTGGCGGGCCCAGGGCCCGGGTGGGATGCGCCTGCGGCGGGCGTGGCCGGACCTGCGTCTGACGGCCCTCCTGCTTCTCACCGTGCTGCCCCCCCCAGGCACACCGTTTTGCGACTACATCGCATCG